GGACCCTACCTATCGACCCATCAACTCATGAACCGGGGACCAACGGCTTTACTTCCCATCCGAAGGAAGGCGTGATCAGAGATGTTATGCCTCAGAACATCCCGGCGGCGCCGACTGGGATTGAACCCAAGCCTGCTGGGGTGAGAGGTAATCACGCTTACCACTACACCACCGGCGCCTTTCTTGAACCATGGTAGGTATTCTTAACATTGAATTGAATAACCTAATATTGCTCCACAATATTAGGTGCCCTTCAGGAAAGTTTTCTGCACAACATAAGCCATAGTACATCTACGCACCAAATTTAAATCGCTGAAAATCAGCAAAATTTTGCAAATTTTAGACTTGATAAAAATTAGCAAACGTATCATTTGTTAAATAGGACATTAACTGCCTATAATCGCATATCAGTCCCATATGGATTTTCGTCAATTTTTAGATACCAACGCTATCCACTATCAATTGGCATCTACTTTCATATTATGTGATAAAACTATGGACTTTGATCATGAAAAATGTGAAAACAACATCAGGTCAGTTTGTCACATCAAGCAAAATAATCGCATATCAGTCCCATCCTGAAATTAAATTGCCCATAGTTCAAGTTAAAGGTCTGCTTTTTGAATTGCTATATTTTTCCTTGATATAACAAAACATGCAAGCTTCATTGCAACAGATTTTAACCTGAAAAAATGTTCAATTAATTTACTATCATTTATCACATATTTACATGGGAATTGCACATTGTAACTTCGACTGCCATTTTCTCAATGCCTACTTTTTCCATATGGGACTGATATGGGATTATAGGCAGTTAATATAATATTAAATATATAGTTGTAAGCAAACATTCTCAAAAGTCATAACTCATGGTATACTGAGACTGACACCTTGATTGCGGCACTTCGGCACGTTCGGCACAACGCTTGGCACAGCTTGTGGCACAGATAAAGTACTCAGCACAGATTGAGAAGTGCAGTGTCGAATACCCAACATATGTTTTCCACCAAATGCTGTAAATCATTATATACATATACTGCCGTTCTACGCATATCTATCCCATGTTACTCTCAGACGTTTTTCACTTTTGTTCATAAAACAATACTTTTTTAGGTAAACTTTCGAATGAAAATAGAAAAGAAACATGTAAGTTGTTTTTGGCTTATTTAAAACAACATCAAGTCTAATTGTCACATGTTGAAATTCTACGCATAACTGTCCCACAAAGATTTTTTTTACTTAATCTTTTATTAACGAATCGATTTGAGTGCACGAATGATTGAAACAGGTTTTATATGATCCAAAGAAACGCAATGATTCATTTCGGGAAGTAGAAGCATTATTTTAGGATGAAAAATAGAAGTAAAAGCTTTATTTTATGATGAAAAATATTAAGAGAAACGGGAATTCATATTAAGACACCAGATTATAGTTCAGATTTCAAACTATGCATTATTAGAGTAATAATAATCAAATGATAAGAAGCATTGTAATGATCTTAAAATAAACCAAAGACAAAATAACAATTGTGTGTAGCAGCGATGTATAAACATCTTCCAATATTTGCATGATTCAAAAAGTACGTATTATTGTCTAAAACAACTCGAAGCAACGCAGTTAATAATGATGGCACTTTCTGTCACTTGATGTGTTCATTCATCTAGTTGATAGCTGGTACCATATTTTGTAGTTAAAATAAGGTTCCTGTAGATTGATTCCGAATATCCGTCGTCGTATAGTCATTTCGTAAATTTAGTCGTTAGAATGTTCTCAATATACTACCGTGGTTGCATTTGGTTGAATAACGGGTGTTCAATAAAAAAATGAGAATGATTTCAGTGCCATCCAGCGCTCTTGTGAGAGCATAGCGACTAGGTTGCGTTGTACGGCTGACCAGGGTCCCTTCTGCAATATTCATTGACGTGTTTTTGAAGAATAAACATTATGTTTTTATTAAAAAATATACTGAATTCGTTGAAAAAAAAAAATTTCATTTTTTATTGAACACCCGTTATAATGAAATCCTTTTTTTTTCCTCTGTTCGAGACCTAACACCACGGCGACCAGTAATTTGATCTATTGTAGTATATCCCGTGTCCTTAGTATAGTGCATGTCATATTATTTCATCACTATTGAGAAATGATGAAGTATTCGATTTTTACAGATGTCAAGCTTGCATTTATCGCAAGGATCCGACTCTAATTGAACGGTCCCGCTCTTTTTACCCTTCAGAGTGTTGAAACACCCTCCAAAGGCGCGCCCCTTTGTCAGTCAAAATTCGATTCCTTAGCAACAAAATTAAGAAATGACACCGATAATGACCATGCATCAGAACCCTAGTCTTAACCACTTCAAACTAGGAAACAATGAATTGAAGATTAGGAATCACATAGATGAAGACTAACCAACTCATTGTTTCCTTGTTTCAAGATCATCCTCGGTGGACAAAGCCAAGTTTTGCCACTATCAACAAGTCATAAAAAGTAACAAGGACTAAGATGTGTTCTTTTGATTACTGAAAAATCCTGTTCCCCTAGTTTGAAGTAGTCGGGACAAGGAATTGGTGGTAGATCTTACATCCCGTAACGTACCACGAAAAGGTGATCTACCCACGTTACGGGGCATCCTTACTCTTGAAATCCTTACTGTGTATGTTAATTTTTCCAAAGTTTGGAGGCGAACCAGCCCAAGACTGAAAGCCTCCCTAATAAAGATAAATTAATTAATTTCCAAAGTCTTCCTTGAAATCATCGATCGACAATCTTATTGTGTTCTGCACAGAGCATTCACCATTTGTTTCTCAAGATTCCCATAATTATAGGCTTTATAGATGTAACAAACGACGATTGCAGCAATGTCAACTCACTTATTGTTGATTTCAGTTAATGATGCAAACCTATGCAAACTATCCACTTTCAAAACTTCACTGAGAACTTAAGCACGCTCATGTAAACACAACCACAAGAGAAAAGACGTCAAACGGAACGTGGCCATCAAAGCAACACGGAAAGGAATAGTTCTTAGTGGGACTGATATACGTAGAATTTCCTACTTCATAGCAAATTTCTCGGCATAACAGTCCCACTGAATTGTTTTCGTATAAAAATAGGCTTGACTAATTTCATTGAAGGTAATTTCAGTAGTTTTCACTAAAACAAATTGATTCTGTTGAAATGTGAACAATACACTAACTTATTTTAACTTCTATGTCTTCCAATGAGCAGAAATGATTCGAAACATTATTCGCGATTTTCTAAGATGTTACTTTTAGAACATGGAACAGATGTTTATTTGTATATTGAAAAATTCAACTGACAATTATTGTCCAAATGAATAAAACTTAAACTAAATAGTTACGGTCAACGGTACAGAAAAGGCCAAGTAGCCGATGATGAAACACGTCAGCTGATACATTGAAATCGATCATATAAAATCAGTTGTTGAATTGCCGGCTGATTGCTCGAATTGGCTCGTGTTGTGTATAATTTCGGTGCCGTGGTTCCAAAAACAGAAAGTCGCGTTAACGAAGAGGCCTCTCAAGTGCATACATATTTAGCTGGACCAGCAGTGTTGGACAGTGAATGTCACAAGCAGCTTTCCAGCGAACATAGCTTTAGCGACCGTCCGTCTCACCACTAATGGATCGATTCCCAGGAGACGGCAACGCTCCTCGTACGGTGGCAAGTTTATTGGGTTACGCCAGTTGAGGAAACGAAGATCATATCTCACAAACTTGCGTTGAACGAATTCAATTCTAGTGATCCAGCTAGCATGGAAAGGGCACCAAACAACTAAACTTGACTCCAATAAGGATCGCACAAGCGAGCAGTAGAGTGACCTGAGGCATAGATATGCGTAGAATGGCAGTAAAGGATAATTTAAGACAAACCATGTAACTTAAAAGTGGTCTGCGGAATAATTGACGCATTAAATAAATAATTAAATAAATAAATATTGTCAAAGTTGCATGCTATGCTGTAAAGCTATGAGAAATGTATCGAACACATTCCATCGTTCACAGATAGCTAATTATCGGCCTACAAAAAAAATGCCCAAAAGCGTTTCGCCATTTTTTGACCTACAGAGGTGCATCATCAAAGCACGGGAAACCCAATTATCAGTTTTATTTTTTCTCGAGAACCACCTTCACTGACGATACAGAGTAATCAAAATCCTCTTTAGTGATAAATCCATCATTAAAGGTTACAATCTCGAAAGGTTTCCTATTGAAAGCAAAGGTTACTATGACAAAAAGGACAAGGGACAAGGGTCCACGACGTTCCATCCTTTCTGTGAAGTTTGTGTCAAATTGATGATATAATTAATTACATGCTATTTAAAAGCTACCCCAGACGAGACAATCACATCCCCGATGGTGCTTGCTGATGCTGGAAAAAAAATATCCGATTCATCTTCTTGGGGCCGGAGAAAAAGTTTCGAGTTTGCCGGAAAAGCTCCTCCGATTTGAAGAATGAGGTGATTTTCGGATCGGATCAAATTATTAACTTACTTGAAATGTAAAATGAAAGAGAAGGACATTTTTTTCCTCCCTTTGAATGACGTAGAATGGCCTTTTTAAACTCTCTATTTGATCTTTATTCGAGTAAAACTTTGTGCCATGATGATATAGAAAACATGTTTTTACTCGTACATTTTATTTTAAAAAATAGAAAAAAAAAACTGGTTGTTTTAGATTTTGTACAGCTTTAAGAAAAAAATTCAATCGAACCGACTTTTTCCAGTGCAGTAAGCTTTCCTTTAAGGTTTACAACTCAAATCTTCTGCATGAAGTGGTCGAGACTTCAATTAGAAGAAAATGTTTCAGTTGCTCGCTCATGAACTAAACCTCACTTTTTTTCATCCGATTGCCAAAACAACTTTTTATTGCACGTTCCAAGTTGAAGAGGAAAAACCGATTGCTCTCGCAGGAAAAAAAAAACTTGTTTAACTTTACCAACAAAATAATCTAAAAAATTAAATAAAGAGAGAAAACTCTTACCTTCATCGATCGTTCCGCTATCATCGTTATTTTCCACAAACTTAAACCAGCCGTGTTTTTTTGTTTCACTGCAAAAATGTTTCAATATTGTCCAACGATTGTTTTATATTCACCGGTATTTACAATAACACAAAAACTTTTTTTTTTTATTTACCCTTAATCAAAAATTGATTCACAAGATAAATTCAATCCTAGCTGAAAACTGAAACAAAACAACCAACTCTTCAAACTCGCATTGTTTGCATGTTCACTTCTTACGACACATCGCACTTCTAAACCCTTTCCTCCGAGTGCCCGGAAGAGGGAAAATTGCTGCTCAAGCACTTTCCTTTTTTACGTTTGAATCTTTCCGCACTGTCTTACTACACCATTTAATCACCGAAAAAAAAAAGAAAATCAAGACACTGTTCAAACAATGGCAAATTCGTCGTTAACTTTTCCGCCAGTCTCAAAAATAATAATGACACAGCAGAGATTCGAGAAGTAAAAAAAAAACAGTTTCTTAGTGTTGGCACAAAACTGATGCTAATGATGATGACGACGAACGGTGGGTGATGGCTGATTTTGCACCCAGCTACATTTTCCACTTGGGTGACTTTCAACTCCAAATTGTATGCAATCAGTTAGAGTAGCAACAGCAATTTTCCCACCCCGACAACAGCCAACGAGATCCGCGCGAAAACAGAAAATGTAAAACGGGTACGATTGGCTTGGGTGAACGAAAGAAACGTAAAAAATAACCTAATAAAAAACAAAAAGAACGAAGCGAATCACTAAAAATACAAAATCGCGGATGCTTAAACACAATAAATGCAGCGGCAAAGTAAAGAAACGCGAAACGCGCGAAGGAGACGACTTATCTCTGGCGTTACCTGCTTGAGACGGTGCGCGGCTGGAAATAAACGACCTGTGCCGGGAAACAATGAATTTATAGAGACGATTTTTTCGGCAGAAAAGTGCGATCTTCGAGTAACCTGCGTTTGCGTTTCGTTTGATGAGCACTGCTATTTGCTCTCTTGGGAGGTGTCGTACGGTACGCGAACTTTGGCGGCTTCGGTTCAGCGAAACGTCACCTGGGCTTATGACGCGACACCACCAACATACTCACTTCCCATTAGCTATTGGGAGGGGGTGGTAGAACGGTGCTCGGTCCATTCATGCTCAATTGAGATGAGTTTGAACATGATGATCGCTTTAGGCACAGCGGGAGCAATCGTTTAGCGAAATGGCAAACTTTCACTAAGCGGTGGATTTATGATAAAAAAAAATGTAGATCAGCCTTTGCATAGCCTGTGAAAGCTTGGTAATAATTACAAATGTATTTATTTATCATTTCTTCTCCTGAATAACGAGACACCAATTCAAGACTTTACTCGAAAAAAATGGAACAAACAAAATGATCACCAAAAATTCATTTTCAGTTGGATATTTTTGAAACTCTCAGGGAATAATTAAACATATATTAACAATAATGTTGGCAAAGTTTGTTTGTTCAACCTCCTCTCCTAGGATAAATGCCCGCACCTTGGACTTAACGCTACCCCTCAAATCCTGTGCAACACTTGCGCCATCTTTCTTACACACTTTCATCCACTCAGTCTTCAAATCCTTGTCGTTTTTGAAGACCTTCACTGTTTCCGGAGCTTGCCCTACATAATTGCCAAGAATTTTACTATTGGGCGAAGTTCTGGCAAGTTTGACGGATTTACCTCCTTCGGCACAAAAACAACATCGTTACCATTCCATCACTATTTTCGCGTAATGGCACGATGCCAGATCCGGCCAAAACAGAGTGTCACCTTAGTGAGACCGGAGGATGGACAGCAGGCGCTTCTGGAGGTATTCTTCTTTATATATTTGGCCGTTGATGGTGCAGGTCCTTACGTACGGCTTGCTGAATTTGCCACACCCACAGATCGCATGCCATACTAAGTACTTCTTGGCAAATTTGTCGACCTTCTTCTTCCGGAACTTCTGCGGAACATCCAGACGGGACTTGTCTCCAGACCGGGGATCCGCTTGGCGTTCACTTTAATGTTCGTCTCGTCGTCCAATACGATGCAGTTCGGCTGCACCAATCTCTCGCGGTACAGCTTCCTGGCGCGGGATTTGGCCGCCGTATTCTGTTTATCGGTTCGGTTTGGTGCCTTTCTAACCTTGAAGACATGAATTCCGGTCCGTTTAATTTTCTGCTGGACGAACCAGACGGAAAAATTGACCTTCTTGGCCACGTCCCGAATCGAATGGTTCGGATTGCGCTTGAAGTAATTCCTCACCTTCTTTGCGTTCACGGGTCGGTCGTCTTCGTTTTTCTTCCACTGCCATCTCGCCGCCGGGTCATCTGGGTCTCCTTGAACGATTTTACCACACGGGACACTATCGAATTTTCGATTCCAAACTAATTCGCGATTCACCTGGTAGGACTGGCCTGGATTTTCCTCGACTGCTCCCATATTTTTTGTCAAAACACTTCTTGCTTGGAAGCCATCTCGATAACCACTTGCCAGAATGTGACGAGATTTTTCATATGTAAATGTTACACTCTATACTAGTTTTACTTAAAATTTCATCAAATTTTATGTTTACCCATGCAATAAAAAGTTATACACAAAAGAAAGTGTTGCATTTTTTTCTTGTACAATCTTTAAGTGCCACAACTTAGTTAAAATTGCACCTGGGTTCTAAATAAGTCAAAGATAGCATCACTTAGTTATGGGGCAAGATGACATTGGGGGACTACTACTCACAATTACTATGAATTAAGAAGGATCGCTCAATAAATGTTTACTAAAAAGACCAAGGAAATTTGTTTATTTCATTTACTTGGGGTAATTGGAAATACCTATACAAGGGCTCGTGCTCTAATTACATAGGGGACGTTTGCAATTTTTCTTCTGAGGAAATGAATACATCTGGTAGTGATGGATCAGCCACCAATAAGTCTTGGGATGAAGTTCCAGTGAAATGAAAGGCTAAGAGTTTTATGTAAAACAGTAAATTAGATCTATTCTCTTTAACGATGCGCTCACAACGAGTACACTTTGTTGATTGAATAAAATGGCACATCTTGCTCAGCGGCCGGTAGACAGCTATAGACTGGTACGGCTACGTTATTAGTACGATCGTTGCACCTCGAACACTCCTCCTCAACGAACATGTTCTGCTCACGATGATAGACCTAGCATTCTAGCCAGCTTATGGTGCTTGATGGTAACCAATGGCTTAGTCAAAATTTCAGCCACCATATTTTCCCTTGAACAGTACTCTAGATCCAGCACCTTGTCTTCGAACAGCTGCTTTACGTAGTATTACCTTGTTTCGATATGCTGGGATCGACGAGTAGACCTTTCTGCACCGACAAACTTGATACAACTTTGGTTGTCCTCACGAATAGTTCCCGGACCACCTAGTTGCACACCAAGACTCAGACTCAGCAACCATACCAGCGCCTGGCTTGCTTAAGTCAGTGACACATATTCCGACTCCATTGATGAAAGCGTGACACAATTCTGTCTTTGGCTAACCCAAGAAACTGCTCCGCCGGCATAGTGGAAGGCGAAACCAGTTGTAGACTTGCGTGTTTCAATATCACCAGCTTAATCGGCATCGGAATGGCCAGTTAGACCCTCATCGGTATTAAAATTCAACCTCCAGTCCTCATCGGTATTAAAATTCAAACTCCAGTCCTTCGTAGTTTTCAGGTAACGGACCACTCTTTTGGCCGCGACGCAGTCCGCTTCTGTCGGCGCACTCACCTTTCAGCCAAGTATCGCAACGCATGCCGCATCCGGTCTTGCGCACACCGCTATAAAAAGAAGCGCGCCGACCAAAGTTCTGTACATCGTATCATCTCTACAAGGTATCTGTTCTTGTGCTCTACCACACCGTTCTGTTGTGATGAATACAGTGCCGTTTGCTGTACCACGATCCCTTCGCCACCCCCATCAGAACGAATACATTTTGGGTATCGACCAAACTGATTTTCCAATAATGCGCAATACTCACGGATTTTCTCCCCAGCATCGGACTTCCTCTGGAGCGGGTATACGACGGAGTAACGGCTGTAGTCATCCACCAAAGCAATGTAGAAACAATTGCCTCTTGGTGTTGCTACTTCCATCGGACCTCCCAGGTTGACATGAATCAGGTCTCCAACAGCAATCGAACTTGTCGTACACGCCTTTGGAAAAGAACCTTTCAACATTTTCCCCTCACAGCAGCAACCACAAATCGATTGCACTTCACAAGAGCCTATCTTCAACCCATGTCCCAGGTCCTCACGCACTATCTTCAGCACCGCTTGTGCATCTCTGTGTCCGAACCTACGATGCCACAAGTGCGGACACCGTTCACCGTGCTTTGGGTCTGCCAAGAACGCCCGCTCTGACAATTGCTTCAGATGGTACATACCACCTTTCCGTTGACCCACCAATAGCAGATTTCCCGCAAGCGACGGAACGTGGAACACATTCTACAGCTTCACGTTCATTCGACCGTCTTTTCCATTCACAGAAACAAGCCGTCCAGAACCAACACCGACCGACATGATTGAGTAACCATCGGCCAAACTAATGGTCGTCGCTTTCGAATCATCCAGCTCTTCCAGAATGTCAGAGTTGTTCGTCATGTGGGAAGTGGCACCTGAGTAAAGGTACCACACACCAGCTTCTCCAGCTACTCCAGCAGCAACACACAGACTCCAGACTCCGATTTAACAGCGATATTTGCTAACTGAGAATTCTCCTTCTGCGCACGATCACAATCACGCCGGAAGTACCCCTCTTGCAATAATGGCATACTTTCTCTTTCTTCACTAATTGCTTCTCCGCATGTTTCTTCTTCCAGGAAACTGTCGCTAGCGCTTTCTTACTGAGTGAAGCGTTCTCCACACGACGTCTTACTTCGTCCAGCAACTTTCCCTTCACAAAATCGACCATCAGATCCGCATCTGGTCGACTTTCGAGCGCCATTATCAATCCGTCGTATGATTCCAGGAGACTGGACAGCATCAAAACCACGAACCAGGGGTCCTTCACTTCCTCTCTGAAACCCTTTATTTGTTGGACCCCGGGAGATTATGCGCCGTCCCAGAAGGGGACGTGCCTAGACCCCTAGCTGCTGGTCTAAGCCTGTCGGCAGCCACTGGGATGGGCACCAAAGACCTCTTTTGTTCCTGGGTCCCAGGATTTGTCAGTGAGGGGGAATTTTTGGTGTAAGCTGTCCTAAATATCGCAATGGTGATG